AAATAGCGTCTATGTATATAGATGCACAATCACCATTGTCTGAAAATGGTTAGAGATCTTGCTGTCTTGGCAAACGAGCTCCTTGCGAGAGGGTGAAAATAGTGCAATATGGCATGCTGAGCACACGCTTCATGGCAGCCATGATTCCCCTATCACCCTCCAAGATACGTATTGCAGCTCATTAGGTGGTTAAATCGTTGAAAGCACCTCCTACAAAATGGACCCATCTGTTGTAGTCTGGCCACATGCGCTTCTGACTTGTGAAAATAAAATATACACGGCATAGCATTGTAAACACTTCATGTTGGATGTATTGGGACATTCAAGTAAAAGGGAGATTTGGCACAGGCAAATGATCAACATGCTCAACGGAAGATGCGCTTGAACACGCCCAAAATCGTGTGACGGCGAGGACGTTGTCTCTTCGGCTCAGAATCCGATGTCGACCCCTGCTGGCTGCTCTCTGCTTGAGCAGGGGCGTCGCCCTCACGACCGTCAAGCTTGGCACTCGACGGGAACGTGCCTGGAATCGTCACACCCTCACCAACAATCGTAGCCGATCGCGACACCCTTGATTCGCTGTCGTCAGCTGTGCCAAGGCTCTCGCCCGGGGACGCAGTTCCACTGGCATCCTTGACCATAGGTGGCGAGTCACCGCGCTTGTTCGTGATGAGGCGTTTCATGCGCGAACCAACCGAGCCCTCGTTGTCGGCAAAACGGCGCATGCCCGCTCCCCATGACCTGCCGCCGGATCCTGCGGATGTGACATTGACTGCAGACACCCCAACAACAGGCGTGGCCTTTTGCGCCATATGCAGCTCGTCCATGGTAATGACACCGGTGGTGTTCAGCGAAGCGTTGTCTCCAAAGAGCGATTCCGGGTAATGCATTACATACGAGGGAATCGCGGTCGGCACGCTGGTAATAGTCCCGGGGGTTGCGTCAGCAGGGGATCCCGGTTCGGCTTCAGTGGATATGCCGGCACGGGGCTCCTGATCCTCGACATCAGAGTCCACTTCGTTGACCGATGTTTGCGATGCACGGGCATCAGCCTGTTTCGCTGGCGACTCGACCTGAGCAGGCTCAACAGTGGCCTCTTCGATCTTGTCGGTGGCAGGCTCCTCAGTGATTTCAGCTGTTGGCTTCTCGACTCCTTCTTCCTCGAGCGAGATGCCCTCGTCAGCGTTGGATGCTGATCTGACAATTGGCGTAGAGTTAGGCTCATCAGTAACTTCTGTCTCGACTAGTACTGCAGCAGACCTGACAGATCTACCGAGCGTGTATGCGACCGCTGCACCGGCGACAGCAGCAACTGCAATGTCACCCGCCGAAACCTCGTCCTGCTCGGCATCCTTGGTGATGCCATCCTCAGCAATAGAAGCATCCTTGGCAGTTTCAGACTCCTCTGTGGCTACAAGATCTGCCACAGTATTGTCTTCAGCAACTGATGTCTCAACTGGGACTGTGTCCATGACCGTAGATTCATCCAGTGAAATAGAGCGAGGAGTGACTTCCTGGACCGTAGAATCAGCAGCATCACCAGAAGACCCGTCAGCAACAACAGTCTCTGCAGCAACGCAGTCCTCTGCAGCAGACTCCTGGACAGTGACAGCAGGTGCCTCGGCAGCAGTGCCTTCAAGAGTGGCGGGTTCGTCAGAGGCGAATTCGATAGGGTCGGCTTTCCCAGCAGAAGATTCGGTGGGGTCAATAGATGGTTCATCAACGGCAGCGGTTTCCTCGACAGTAACATCCTTGACAACGATATCCTCTGTACCAGGCTCCTCGGTGACAGTCTCCTTAGTAATGACATTGTCAGCATGGGATTCGGTGACATGCTCCTCAATAGTAGGTGCCGCCTCGACAGCAGCTGCATTGGTATCGATAGCTTCCTCGATAGCATCCCCAACGGCGGGCTCGCCCTCAGCCTCGCCGGTAGACTCTTTAGCAACTATGGCCTCCTCAACGGCAGTCTCTGCGACAGGAACTTCAACAGTACTCTCCTTAACCGCAATGTCTTCCAATAGAGATTCGGCCACAGGATCTTCTGCAGCGACGTCCGCTGCAACCGATTCGACCATGTGCTCGCCAGCATTGACCTCCTCGACGGCGACCACCTCTGCCGGTAATTCGACTGCAGGCACATCTGCAGCAACAGTATCCTCTGGTGCAGCTTCCACAGCAGCGATGTCCTCAACCGACGCCTCGGCCACAGGCTCCTCAGGAGCAGTATCATCAGTGGCAACACCTCCAGTTGAATCTTCTGCTGCAGGCTCACCAGTAGCTGTCTCCTCAACAGTAGCCGCGTCTGAGGCAGCTTCCCTGGTAGCGATTTGCTCGGAGGCGGTCTCTTTGACGATAGCATCCTCTGCTAATGACACGGTCACAGAGGCTTCAGTACTAGCAACTTCCTCAGCAGCGATCTCCCTGGGAGAAACATCCTTGGTAGTATCTGGCCCATCGACAGCGCCTTCAACCAGCAGCCTCGGACTCTGCTTCCTGAGTAGTAGGCACCTCAGCAGTTGGCACCTCACCAGCTTGCTCCTTGGGGACTGATGTTTCTGCAGCCGGCTCCGCAGCTACTGAAATTTCGGCGACCGGCTCTTCGACAATCAGCGCCTCAACAGGCGGCTCCTCAGTGACTGACTCCTCAACAAGCAGTTCCTCAGCAGCGGGCTCTTCCACGACCGACTCCTCAGTAGCTGGCTTCTCAATAGCTGGTCCTTCAGTGACCGGCACTTCAGTGGCCAGCTCTTCAGCAACCGATTCTTCAGTGGCTGACTCTTTAACAGTCGACTCTTCAACATCCAATATCTCAGCAGTAGATTCATCGGCAGCTGTAACTTCAGCGACCGGTGCGCCAACAGCTGGCTCCTCGGCAGCCGGCTCTTCGGTGACTGGGGATAGGATAACAGGTTCAACAGCCGGTTCCTCAACGGTCGACTTAGTGACAACTGGTGCCTCACTGACTGGCACTTCAGTGATCGGCTCCTCAGCGACCAGTGCCTCAGCAGTTGGCCCCTCAACAACCGATGCTTCAACGGGTGGGTCCTCAGCAACCGGTGCCTCAGCAACCGGTACCTCAGCGGTCGGTTCAATGATGACCGGCGCATCGGCGATCGGCAGCTCAGCAACTGGCGCCTCAGCAACAGGCTCCTCAACGGCTGGCTCCTCGACGACAGGCTTCTCGGAAATAGGCTCCTCGATGGCTGGCACCTCGGTGACTGGATCCTTAGCGACAGGTGTCTCAGCGACAGGTACCTCTGGAACTGGCTTCTCAACGGCTGACTCTTCAGCGACAGAATCCTCAGCGACAAAATCCTCAACGACTGGATCCTTAGCGACAGGCTCCTCACCGACAAGTGTCTCAGCAACAGGTGCATCGACGACTGAATACTCGGTGACTGACACCTCCACAACTGGCTCCGCAGCGACAGACACCTCGGCAGCCAGTGCCTCAGCGACTTTGATCCTCAACGACTGGCTCCTCAGCAACAGGCGCTTCAACAACTGAACCCTCAGAAAACAGAATCCTTGGCGACTGAATCCTCGGCGGCAGGCGCCTCAGCAACCGGTGTCTCAGCGACAGGGTCTTCAGTGATCGGTGCCTCAGCAACTGAATCTTCAACGACTGAATCATCCGCCAACAGGACCCTCAGCGGCAGGCTCCTCCACAGCTGGAATCCTCGGCGACAGGAGCCTTAGCAGCAGGCTTATCAGCAACAGGCTCTTCTGTGACCCGGGCCTCAGCGGCTGAATCCTCAGCGACAGGCAGCTCAACTACTGGATCCTCAGCAGCTGGCTCCTCCAGTGACCGGTGGCCTCAGCGATTGGATCCTTAGCGACAGGCTCCTCCACAGCTGGTGCTTCAAGGGCTGATTCCTCAACGACAGAATCCTCAGCAATCGGCTCCTCAGCAACTGGCACCTCTACAACTGGTGCCTCCGCAATTTGCTCCGCAGGAACAGGCTCCTCGGCGACTGGGATCCTCAGAAACTGGTGCCTCAGCAGACGCCTCCTTAGCAACTGGACCCTCAACGACAGGCTCTTCTACGACTGGCTCCTCAGCAGCCGATTCCTCGGTGATTGGATCCTTAGCGACAGGCTCCTTCACAACAGGCGCCTCAGCGACCGAATCCTCGATGACTGAATCCCTCAACGACTGAATCCTCAACGACTGAATCCTTGGTGGACTGGCACCTCCGTAACAGACTCTTCAGCGACAGGCTCCTCAGCAGTCGGTGCCTCAGCAGCTGACTCCTCAGCGACTTGATCCTTATCGACTTGATCTTTAGCGACTGAATCCTCGGCGACAGGCACCTCAGTGGCCAGTGCTTCAGCAACAGGCACCTTAGTGACTGAATCCTCAGCGACAGGCTCCACAACGACAGGCTCCCCAACGACAGGCTCCTCAGCAGCTGGTTCCTCAGCGACAGGAGCCTCAGCGGCAGGCTCCTCCGCAACTGGATCCTCCGCAACAGGCTCCGCAACGGCTGACTCCTCAACGACAGGCTCTTCAAACAACTGGTGCCTCAGCAACTGGTTGCCTCAGCGACTGGATCCTCCGCAACAAGATCTTCAGCAGCAGGCTCCTCAGCAGCAGGCTCCTCAGTGGCTGGCTCTTCAGCAACAGGTGTCTGAGCCGATTGGTTCCTCGACGGCTGACTCCTCAGCAGTAGGTACCTTAGCAAACCGGTGTCTCAGCGACAGGATCCACAATGACTGAATCCACAACGACTGAATCCTCAGCGACAGGCTCCTCGACCGGCTGGGTCCTCCACAACTGGTTCCTCGACGGCTGGCATCTCAGTGACAAGAGGCTTAGTAGCCGGCCTCCTCAGCAGCTGACTCCTCAACGGCTGGCACCTCAGCAGCTGGCACCTCAACGACAGGCGCCTCTGCAACCGAATCCTCAGCGGCAGGCTCCTCACCGGCTGGCTCCTCAGCGACGGGTGCATCGACGACTGAATCCTCGGTGACTGGGCACCTCCGTGACAGACTTCTCAACAGCTGACACCTCCGCAACTGGGCTCCGCAGCGACAGGATCTTCAGTGGCCGATGCCTCGGCAGCTGGTTCCTCAGTGACTGAATCCTCAGCAGTCGACTCCTCAGCGACTTGATCCTCAGCGACAGAAGCCTCAGCGGCAGGCTCCTCAGCGACATGAGCCTCAGCAGCTGGATCCTCGGCAATAGGCTCCTCAGTGACTGATGCCTCAGCGACAGACTTCTCTGCAATTGATTCCTCGACGGCTGACATCTCAGCAGCTGGTTCCTCAGCAGCTGACTCCTCAGCAACCGGTTCCTCAACAACTGGCTCCTCAGCGGCTGGCTCCTCAACGACCGGCTCCTCAGCAGCTGGTTCCTCAGCGACAGGAGCCTCAGCAGCAGGCTCCTCCGCAACTGGATCCTCCGCAACAGGCTCCTCCGCAACAGGCTCTTCAACAACTGGTGCCTCAGCGACTGGATCCTCCGCAACAGGATCCTCAGCAAAGGGCTCTTCAGCAACAGTATCCGAGCGATTGGTTCCTCAACGGCTGACTCCTCAGCGACAGGAGCCTCAGCGACAGGAGCCTCAGTGGCAGGATCCACAACGGCTGGGTCCTCCACAAATGGGTCCTCGACGGCTGGCATCTCAGCAGCTGGTTCCTCAGCAGCCGACTCTTCAGCAACTGGCACCTCAGCAACTGGCACCTCAACGGCTGGCACCTCAACGACAGGCGCCTCTGCAACCGAATCCTCAGCGACAGGCTCCTCACCGGCTGGTTCCTCAGCGACGGGTGCATCGACGACTGAGTCCTCGGTGACTGGCATCTCCGTGACAGACTCCTCAACGGCTGACACCTCCGCAACTGGCTCCGCAGCGACAGGATCTTCAGTGGCCGATGCTTCAGCGACTAGTTCAGCAGTTGACACTTCAGCGACTAACGCCTTAACTGCTGGCTTCTCAGCAATCGACTCCTCAGCGACTTGATCCTCAGCGACAGAAGCCTCAGCGGCAGGCTCCTCAGCAACTGGTGCCTCAGCAACTGGATCCACAACGACTGAATCCTCAGCGACAGGCTCCTCAACAACCGGTGCCTCAGCAGCTGGATCCTCGGCAATAGGCTCCTCAGTGACTAATGCCTCAGCGACAGACTCCTCTGCAACTGATTCCTCGACGGCTGACATCTCAGCGACAAGAGCCTCAGCAGCTGGTTCCTCAGCAGCCGACTCCTCAGAAACTGGCACCTCAGCAACAGGCACCTCAACGACAAGCGCCTCTGTAGCCGAATCCTCAGCGACAGGCTCCTCACCGGCTGGTTCCTCAGCAGCTGGCTCCTCAGCAACAGGCACCTCAGTGATGGTGTGTCAGCAACTGGCTCCTCAGCAGTAGGTACCTTAGCAACCGGTGCCTCAGTGACTGGATCCACAATGACTGAATCCTCAGCGATAGGCTCCTCCGCAGCAGGCTCCTCAACGACAGGCTCTTCAGCAACCGGTGTCTCAGCAATTAGTTCCTCGACGGCCGACACCTCAGCGACTGGATCCTTAGCGACTGGGGCTTCCGCAACTGGTTCCTCAGCGATTGGATCCTTAGCGACAGGCTCCTCCACAGCTGGTGCTTCAACGGCTGATTCCTCAACGACAGAATCCTCAGCAATCGGCTCCTCAGCAACTAGCACCTCTACAACTGGTGCCCCCGCAATTTGCTCCGCAGGAACTGGCTCCTCGGCGACTGGCTCCTCAGTGACCAGTGCTTCAGCAACAGCACCTTAGTGACTGAATCCTCAACGACTGGCTCTTCCACGACTGGCTCCTCAGCAGCCAATTCCTCGGTGACTAGATCCTTGGCGACAGGCTCCTCCGCAACTGGTTCCTCGACGGCTGCATCTCAGTGACAAGAGCTTCAGTAGCCGACTCCTCAGCAACTGGCTCTCCAACGACAGGATCCTCACCGGCTGGTTCCTCAGCGAAAGGTGCATCGATGACTGAATCTTCGGTGACTGGCACCTCCGTAACAGACTCCTCACCGACAAGCTCCTCAGCAGTCGGTGCCTCAGCAGCTGACTCCTCAGCGACTTGATCCTTATCGACTTGATCTTTAGCGACTGAATCCTCGGCGACAGGCGCCTCAGTGACTGAATCCTCAGCAACCCGTGCCTCAGCGACAGGCTCCTCAACGACGGGCTCCTCAGTGACATGCGCCTCAGCAACCGGTGTCTCAGCAGTTGATACTTCAGCAGCTGGATCCTCGGCAAACAGGCTCCTCAGTGACTGGTGCCTCAGCTGCTAGGTTCTCAGCGGCAGGCTCCTCAGTGACTAGTTCCTCAACGGCTGACACCTCCGCAACTGGATCTCTAGCGACTGAATCTTCAGCAATAGGCACCTCAGCGGCAGGCACCTCAGCGACTTGAAGCTTCCGCAGCTGCTTCCTCGACAGCTGACTTCTCAGCAACAAGAGCCTCAGCAGCCGATTCCTCAGCTACCGATTCTTCGGCAACCGACTCCTCAGCAACTGGCACCTCAACGGCTGGCTCCCCAATGGTAGGCACATCTGCAACCGAATCCTCAGCGGCAGGTTCCTCAGCAGTTGATACTTCAGCAGCTGGCGCCTTAACTGCTAGCTCCTCAGCAACAGGCTCCTCAGCAGCTGGTTCCTCAGCCACTGGCGATTCCACAACAGGTGCCTCAACGACTGAATCCTCAAGGGCTGACACCTCCGCAACAGGCTCCTCCGCAACAGGCTCCTCAGCGACTGGATCCTCAGCGATGGGTTCCTCAGCAGCAGATTCCTCAGCAACTGGCACCTCAATGACTGGATCCTCTGCGGTTGACACTTCGCCAACTGCATCCTCAACGACGGGCTCCTCAGCGACAGGCTCCTCAGTGGCTGGCTCTTCAGCAACAGGTGTCGAGCGATTGGTTCCTCGACGGCTGACTCCTCAGCGACAGGAGCCTCAGCAGCAGACTCCTCAGCAGTAGGTACCTTAGCAACCGGTGTCTCAGCGACAGGATCCACAACGACTGAATCCACAACGACTGAATCCTCAGCGACAGGCTCCTCGACGGCTGGGTCCTCCACAACTGGTTCCTCGACGGCTGGCATCTCAGTGACAAGAGGCTTAGTAGCCGGCTCCTCAGCAGCTGGCACCTCAACGGCTGGCACCTCAACGACAGGCCCTCTGCAACCGAATCCTCAGCGGCAGGCTCCTCACCGGCTGGTTCCTCAGCGACGGGTGCATCGACGACTGAGTCCTCGGTGACTGGCACCTCCGTGACAGACTCCTCAACGGCTGACACCTCCGCAACTGGCTCGCAGCGACAGGATCTTCAGTGGCCGATGCCTCGGCAGCTGGTTCCTCAGTGACTGAATCCTCAGCGGCAGGCTCCTCAGCAATAGGTACCTCAGCAGCTGGATCCTCGGCAATAGGCTCCTCAGTGACTGATGCCTCAGCTGTTAGATCCTCAGCGGCAGGCTCCTCAGCGACTAGTTCCTCAACGGCTGACACCTCCGCAGCTGCATCCATGGCGAGTGAATCTCAGCAATAGGCGCTCAGCGACAGGCTCCTCAGCGACTGAAGCTTCCGCAGCTGGTTCCTCAGCGATTGGTTCTTTAGCGGCGGGCTCCTCCACAGCTGGCCCTTCAAGAGATGATTCCTCGGCGACTGGTTCCCTAGCGACACACTCCTCAGCAATTTGACCCTCAGCGGTTGCCTCCTCAGCAGCCGGTGCCTCAGCAATTATAGGCTCTTCAGCGATTGAATCTTTAACGACTGGATCTTCAACTGTTGACACCTCAGTGACAGGCTCCTCGGCGACCGGCGATTCCGCAAGTGAACCCCTCAGCAACTGGTGCCTCAGCGACTGAATCCTCAGCAACAGGCTCTTCAACGTCAGTCTCCTTACCGACTGGCGCGTCAGCAGCAGGCTCCTCAGCAGCGGATTCCTCAATGACCGGCCCCTCCGCAATTGAATCCTCAACAGCTCGATCCTCCGCAATTGAATCCTCAACAGCTCGATCCTCAGCAACTGGCTCATCAGCAACTGGCTTCTCAGCGACAGATTCCTTAGCGACAGATTCCTTAGCGACAGATTCCTTAGCGACAGGAGCTTCAACGACTGAATCCTCAAGGCTGACACCTCAGCAGCTGGATCCTCAGTGACCGGTGCCTCAGCAGCCGGTTCCTCAGCGACTAAATCCTCCGCAACTGGATCCTCCGCAACTGGATCCTCAGCAGCGGATTCCTCAACGACCGGTGTCTCAGCAGCAGATGCTTCAAGGCTGGCTCCTCGCAACAGGCTCCTCAACAGCTGGATCCCTAGTGACCGGTGCCTCAGCGACTGGTTCCTCAGCGACCGGCGCCTCCGTAGCTGGTTCCTTGACGGCCGACACCTCGGCGATTGGGTCCTTGGAGACTGAATCCTCAGCAGTAGCAGGCTCTCACCAACTGGTTCCTCAGCGATTGGATCCTTAGTGATAAGCCCCTCCACAGCTGATTCCTCAACGCAGGCTCCTCTGCAACTGGATCTTTAGCCACCAGTACCTCAGCAACAGGCTCATCAGCAACAGGCTCCTTCAGTGACCAGCGCCTCAACAACTGGCTCCTCAGCAACCGGCTCCTCAATGGCTGGTTCCTCAGCAACCGGCTCCTTAGCAACCGAATCCTCAGCGACCGAATCCTCACTGACTGGCAATTCCGTACTGGCCCTCAGCAATTGAATCCTCCGCAGCTGGTTCCTCGACGGCTGATACCCCGGCGACAAGATCCTCAGCGGTTGGCGTCTCAGCAACGAATTCTCAGCGACTAGATCCTCAGCAGCAGGTACCTCAACAATGGATCTTCAGCGACCGTGCCTCAGCGACTGACTCCTCCTCAGCAAGAGGTTCCTCGACGGCTGGCTCCTCCGCAGCTGGCTCTTCAGCAACTGAATCCTCAACACAGGAGCCTCCACACTGGCTCCTCAACTGCTGACGCCTGGGCGACTGAATCCTCAGCAGCAGGTTCCTCAGCGACTGGTCCTCAATGACTGGGTCTTGAGCGATTGGATCCTCAGCAACAGGCGCCTCAGCAGCTGAATCCTCCGCGACTTGTACTTCAGCAGCTGGTTCCTGAACGAGGGATACTTCAGCAACTAGGTCCTCTGCAGCCGGCTCCCAGCAACTGACTCGTGAGCAACCGATACCTCAGCGGATAGCTCATCAGCAACCAACTCCTTAACGACTAACTCCTCGGCGACTGGTATTTCAGCAGCTAGTGCCTCAACAGCCGACTCTTCAGTGGCCGGTTCCCCAGTGACTAGTTCGTTGGCAGCCAGATCACCAGAGATCGGCTCACCAGCAGCAGGTTCCTCACCGCCTGTCGTCTCAGTGAGTACTTCTTTAGCAAGTGATGCTTCAGCGACCGATTCCTCGGCGATCAGCTCATCAGCGACTGGTTCCTCGGTAGTTGGCTCCTCAGCGTGTGACTCTTCGGCGTCTAGCCCTTCAACCACTGGCACTTCAGCAAGTGATGCCTCAGCAACCGATTCCTCAGCGGCTAGCTCCTTGACAAGCGATACTGCAGCGACCGGCTCCTCAGCGATTGGTTCCTCAGCGATTGGTTCCTCAGCGGTCTGTGCCTTAGCAGTGACAGGCTCTTCAGTGACTGAATCCTTAACGGCTGGCTCCTCAACGACTGACACCTCGGCGACTGGTGCCTCCGTAATTTGTTTCTCAGCAACGGACGTCCCAGCAGCAGGGTCCTCAGCGACCGGTGCCTCAACTACTGAATTCTCAATGACTGGCGCCTCAGCAGCTGGTTCCTCGGCGACAAACTCCTTAGCGATAGGCGCATCAACAGCTAACTCCTCCGTGGTTGGATCCTCAGTGACAGGCGCCTCAGCGACTGGCGCTTCTGCAGCTGATTCCGCAGCGAGAGGCGCCTCAGCGACAAGCACCTCAGCAACAGGTTCCTCAACGGCTGGCTCCTCGCTGACAGGCTCCTCAGCGGACTGGATCCTCAGCGACTGGATCCTCGGCAAC